CCCCAAAACCCCAAAACCCCAAAACCCCAAAACCCCAAAACCCCAAAACCCCTAAATTTAGTCTAAAAATTGAAATTAAAGATTATGCCTTTGATTAGTCAACTTCTGGAGGTATTCAGAGTCATCCTAAAATTTAGTTAAATAATTTTTGTAAAAGCAGTAGCTAAGTTACAAAGTTAAGAGTTTGAATCACCTCAATAATTTGGTTGGCTAGTTTCTTAGACTTGTTCAAGGAGAAACTTGACTTTTTCCGCCGAGTTTTGATTACTGTCAAACTTGTACTAGACACATTTTCTTTAGGGCTGTCCTAGATAGCAGTTAGGATAGAAGAATTTCGAGTATACACTTGAATGAATTAGAGCTTACATTCTTCTTAGATCCAATGCTGAAAGTATCATATTTTGGCTCTTGGTCAAGACAATAATCCTCAACATCAGATACTGATTCTGAAGGAGGGACTTCTTGGTTTGGCATTTTTAATTTTTTCATTGAAAATTTGTTTTGAAGTTCAATCCTATACAAACACTTTTTACAGTAAAATTCTTACTCATTATATCTCCGTGTCTCTAGCCTTCCGATTGTAATTTCCTTAGCTCGTGAAAAGCTGGATAACTTGTGCATAACCCTCGGTTTATCAGGAGTAACTGTACTCTATTTAATAAGAACTTTTCAACCATAAACCCCCAAATCTACTTACAATAGTTGGTCTGACCGGATTCAGCTGCTTATTTTGCACGCTCTGCTTCCGTTGCTCATCAACTTTCAGTATCCCCTTGCGCTGTATGATCTAAACCTCGATAACCTCCAATTCTTCAGCCCAAAATTTCCTCTAAAACCCCAGAATTCAGGCCAAAATTTAGTCTTCGTTCAGGAATTTCAGGAAGAAATTTTAGAATTTTCAGCCCCCAGCCAGAGAATTTTAGGGCCAAAAGGAGATTTGAGTGGGCAAAAGTGGTCGAGAGCTGAAATTTTGGCCTTGAAGTTCAGCCAATAGTAAGAAGAGAGGCACTGGAAGAGGCCAAGGATGGAGAAATAGGGAAGTAAAGGGGGTTTTGGGGGATTCTTAGAAGAGAAAATAGTCAGAGAGACATTTTAGCCAGGAAAAGGCTCCAGAATGAGGAATATAATGTTACAGAATGTTTAGAGATGCTTAATAATGCGATTTTGGGAATTTAGAAAATGACTTACGCTGTATCGTTCAGTATTTTTTTTTAAAAGCCCTGACATTATCTTCCCCCTGTCTATTTCATTCATTCTAATAGGCGGCGATTGAGCATGTTTTTGTTTCTTAAACAGTTTAGCCATCTTTTTCCCTATTTTCTTAAATCTATCAGGATCTGTGAAGTCAAATCGATTCGGACCTTCAGATACAGGTGAGATGATAAAACCTTATTAAAGAAGTACAAAATAAAACCTTTCACAGGATGGAGGGGGAAGGTATGAAATTTACTCTTGGGTTGGGGGCTCTTAAAGCTCTTGCTTTCCTCTCTGGTTTTCTTCTTATGAGCTACCCTATATCTTGATGAACATTAGTATTTTTAGAATATAATTGTTATTGAGTAGAGGTTAAAGATAAACTGTAAATAGGTATATTATCAAGGAAGCAGTCAAGCAATTAATTAGCAGAAGGCTTAACCTGGTGAGCTCCCTCTTGCCAACAATGACTTTCCTCAAAACCATAATACCCCATGCAGGATGTTGATGGCTAAGATTCAGTCTCAGGATATTTGGAAGTTTAACTCTTAATTCGTCTTAAACCTCTTACATTATAGATTTAAACTCTATCCTGATCGAAGTTTGTTAATGAATCCGGGAAAATAGTTTATAATGTTTGGATAATTATTTCACTAACTCTAACTGGGTTATTTGCTAAACAACTGAAAAGTAGTAGGTTTATGGTGTCCAAATATTTATTTGGCTTGAATATTCCAAAAATAGTAAGCTGTTCCAATCCCCCTTACTTGGTCTTAAACATCTTTAGATTAGTCAATGGGTACTTCTGATCTCTTAAGGTAAGGTTTTGGGCTTGTGGTGAAGGCAAGGCCTTTGACTTCTTCATTAAGTTACGTATCTTCTTCCTATGAGAAATCTTCCCAGACAAGATTTTCTGAATCTCTTGGTACTCAGTTTGTTCCAGAGTTCTCAAGGGAGAGAATAGCTGATCCATACCCTTTCGTTTCATCTTTAGCTTCTTCAATGCTTTTTGAATGACACCGATAGGACTAACCCTGGTCTTTTTGTGAGAATAAATATTGGGAGATGGAGATTGGTCCTTACTGAAGCTATTTGTGCTAAAACCTTTTAAAATTTTAAACACTTACTTGAAAGGAACATAATTTAGGCTGACAGGACTAAGAAAAATGTTCCTCCTGGCTTCTGGAGAGAAGTTATTTAGCGTACCAATAACGTTTTTATGCCCAAAAGGAGAGAAGCTATAGTTCCTATACAAGAGCTTGTAAGTCTGGGACTCTTAACGGAGATCATACCTGCTGCTGTTACTTTGTCGAGACCTATGGGAGGTTATACCAGCGGTGATTTTGGCCTTGTTCTTCATTTTATATTCTTTGTCCATAACCAATATTATTATGTTGATAAGGGGTTTTGGGGTTTTGGGGTTTTGGGGTTTTGGGG